TATATTTTTTAGCAATAGCCAAAAAAACATTGTATGGGTCAAAATAATTGATTTTTTTTTTATGCCAAAAACCATTAGGATATTAAGTAAAGATCATGTTCCATTAAGATATTTTGTAAATTTCCTACCGTAAATATATCAAAACTTAATTTTTGATTAGTAATATGCATTGCTAAGAACTTCATTTGGACAACTTTAAAGGCGATTTTCTCAGATTTTCTCGCACCATCAGATTACAGATTTTCAGCCAAAAATCTATAGAAAAATATCTCAGCCAAATATTGTCAGATCGTAACAAACCATACATCAATGGAAAGCTTATTTATTCAGCTTTCAGATGATGTATAAATCTCAATTTCAAAAAATGGACCCTTATGACTGGTTTTGTGGTCCATGTTCACAAATATCTAACAGTGACATAAATTATGTAATAGGAATATAAGGAAGCTACTTGACATGAAGGCAGCTGACCTGGCAAAGGCTTATAATAGATCCAGTGATACAGGTAAATGTAACCAGAATTTGATGGGCTTATAATGCCACGAGGAAGCTACAGGGGCATCTAACGCATATTTATTACATGTGTGCATATTCTCACCAGTTTGTCCATCTGCATGAGTTTCTTGTCTTGCTGGTGTATCTGGTTGGTCTTTATTTCCAGCACGGCTCTGAGACTCTCCAGCTCTTGTTCCAAAAACAGTGTGTGAGCGTCCTTCTGCACACAGAGAAAAAGGTGCTCAGTTTGTGTTTACGGCATCTGGGACTACAAAAAAATACATGGAGTATCTCTACGGGTCACAGGCTTGGTATGGGTCACAGTAACTAGATGGTCAATCAGATGTCCCACTAGCCCTCTTGAAACTACGGTTGGGGATGTCATTGTTGTTGACAAGCACACCAGAATAAGAACAGAAGAACCACACAAATGTAAACATTTCTAATGGACTGCATTAGGACACAGTTCTTGGCGTCAGTGTTGTTATTTATAACTATTAACAGTCATTTTTGTTAATAGAAAAACAGCTGAACTACAATAACATGTAAATAATGCATTACATTTTAAAAATTAGAAATGCTGTCTAAGTGAATCTAAATTGAAGTACTAAAATGAATACAACTAAAACTGAAATAAAAATAAATAAGCCTAACAGAAATATTAAAAAAGTAATAAATGACAAAAAACCATAATGAAATTACTAAAACTGAAAATATGACAATACAAGTCAAAATATTAATAATTATAATAGTGTATTAGCATTAGTTTTGGGGCTTGTCATAAAATAGTGAAAAAATTATTTAAATTCAATTACACTAACTGTAAACCAGCAATGTGGTTATACTGTGAATAATACAGATTACTGCAAAAGCATTACAAATTTTACCTGACTTTTGTCTGCCAGAGCTCTTCTCCATTCCTCCTCTTCTCTCAGTCTTTCTTTCAAAGCCTCGTTTTCTGCTGTCAAAGTCAGAATTTTCTCCTGTAGGGGAGAGAAAGTGATTAAATAAACAATTACCAAAAAGCATATACACATTATCTTCAATTTGCAAATTAAGCATAATATGAATACTATACATTTTAAAGATGAAAAGTAAGTTAATTCATATTTGCATGTTAAGACGGCGATGCATACATTGAGCATGGCTTCAGACTCCTTGAGTGTTTTATCAAGTTCTTCCATGTCCTGTTCATGAGTCTTCCTGAGCTCTGGAAAATGAAAAAAAAATTTGATAGATTTTCCTCATCTGACAGAAAGATTAGATCAAAATACATTACATGTAATGAAAGGATAAACAATAAGCCTTTTGAT